TTAGTATTTAGATTATTTAAATTTTGTGAATGCAAACGAACATTTTGATTGTGCTAGCTAATATGTTCTCTGAATTCATGATTGCATAGTTCAGATTACATTAACCTGCTTAAAGTATTGTGGAAAGCTACATGTTGAATGGCACACTTAAGCCATTGCTAAAGGAGTCTCTTTTTTTTCAATTAGTCTGTGGAATATGTCCTACCGTAAGAACATTAGCATAAGACTTTCCTTACAAACTGCCTCTTATAACATGTGTCTACTCTAAATTTAAATGTAAACTTCAAATGTGAAGTACATTAATGTAAGGTTATGATGACCATTTGACATCTTTGTTTCATAAAAGTGTTCTTTTTCTTTCTTCTTGACTACTGGGATTATGTGAAGCTGGATGCACTCTCAGGTGTCATCTGCAACTCTTCCACTTTCTGGGGCAACCATGAAAACTCCCTCAAAGAAACCAACTGTTGGGCAGAAGAAGCCTTTGGAAGCATTAGGCTCGTCTCCTCCCATGTCCAGGTTAACCTTATATTTAATATTCCTTTAATGTGGTTCATGTAGCCTTGTTCAATCTTGCTAGACGTATAAATAGAACTAAACTTCCAAAAATCTTTCTTTTTTTCCATCAGCAAAAGGCAGAAGACATCTGGTACTTCTATTGATCAAAGCATTGAACAACTAAATGATGTTACGGCTGTTAGTGGAGTTGATCTAAGGGTATAAAATTTTTGTATGTTACTTTTGTTATGTATATATAACTTTTAGCTTTTGATTAGTTAAGAAAAAGGTGATGGATTATTAGACTCAATGCTTGACTGTATTTTACTCTTTAATAGGAAGAGGAAGAGCAACTATTATCTGGCCTGAAGGAGGAGAACCAAACTTCAGAAGCAACCCGAAGGGTTGTACAAGAAGAAGAAGAGAGGTTGCTTTTGCAGCAGGCCTCCCTTCGGAAAAAGCTCTCAGATATCAGTTACTACCTCTTTTATGTGATGCTGTTGTTTTCATGTAAGATGAAAATTATAATCAAAATGGTTTTGATTAGTGGTGCTTGTTGCAGTGTTCAAATGTAGTTTGAAGAATATAGGTGGTGATGTGGAGCGTTGCTTGTCAATGGTGAGGAATTTCTTATGCTTCATTTTGGAAGTGATGTATTACTTGATCTGACTTGCTGTTCCTCAGTGTGTGGAGGAGCGTTTGAAGGGGTTGATATGTTATCTCATAAGACTGTCAAAACAGGTTAGTGCTATTTAAAGATTACCAACATGTCTGTGTTAGTTACCAGTTTTTATCATTTTCACCTCCTGAGGTTTTCTTTTTGCCCCTTTTTTAGAGGGTTGATCTTGAAAAATCTAGGCACCGGTTTGTAATCACTTCAGATGTACGGCATCAAATTTTGTTAATGAACCAAAAAGCCAAGGAAGAGTGGGACAAAAAGCAGGCTGAAGAGTGTGACAAGCTTCGAAAAGTAAATGAAGTGAGTAGTCAGAGTCTTGTTTCTTTTTCATTTTTTGCTACTGTACTACTGATGTTCTTCGTGAGTATGCATTGTTAAGTTTATCTGTTGCATTGTGTGATATTTTGCTATTTCATTTGAATTTTCAAAGAACATAAATCTTGCTACTAACTATATTTCTGGTATAATTTGCCTGCTAATCATTTACTTTATCATGATTATAGTGCTTAATTTCAATTAACTTTGTCCAATGCATGGGGATAGGTTAACGGTGCAATACGCAGTTGTAATTTCTACAATAAGTTAGTCTAGCCCTCGCGCATGAAAGTGTATATTAGGCTACTACTGATATGGTGATGACACGACATAGACTAACATGACCTTTCCAGTGATTGCTCTAGGTCAGTTATGGATGATTGCCTATGCACACATGCTAGTGCTTGCTACTTGAGTGGTAAACCTCAATATCCTTGGGCACATATATATGTGTGTGTGTGTGTATGTATATATGCATGTGTGTATATATATATATATATATACACACATATTTTTATGCCAGAATACATTTATTTATATGCTGCTTAGTTTTAAAATAATGATTATATGCATATACCTGTATTTTTTGAGTCTCTTGCTTTTGCAATCTCTGTAATATTGAAATTATCACATTGTGTATAAAATGATGAAGTGACTTTTTCTAAAAGCTTGCAAGTTGGGTTATTGACAAGGCACCGAGGCTATGTTTTACACTATTAGATAGGTCCATCACCTCAAGTTGCCTACACTGTTTGGCAATTATTTTGTCATTCTACAAACTTCTTAGTTCTTACATCATAATTAGTTACTGCTGCATGTACACATTTGGAGATGGAAACATCTGATCTTTGGCATGAATTATTTTGGGAAGCCAGAAGTCAAGGACTTACCCAGTTTACCCTAAGCAAACACTTGTTTGTTAAACTAAAGCACTTCCTGAACCAAGTCATTGTTTCACTGTCGATATGTTTTTTTTTTGTCCTTTTGTCGTTGCTCTTCTACTTCGGACACGTCATTTAAGCAATTTCAGGCCAAAAATGTCTATGGTAATCTATAACTGCAATTATCTGTAATTGCAGATGGATGGAAGTGCAGGGGTTGATGCAGAGAAGGACAAAGAAGAAGGCCGTTCAAAGACCCTTAAGGTAGAATTGATCTTTAACATATTTTTTTCTGTTTTCTATTACCAATCAATTATTGGTCTGTAAGCAGGCTAACAAGGAAGAGGATGATAAAATGAGAGCAACGGCTGCAAATGTTGCAGCCCGAGCTGCTGTCGGTGGAGATGATATGCTGTCAAAATGGCAACTCATGGCTGAGCAGGCTCGGCAGAAACGTGATGGAGTTGATGGGGCCTCTGGTTCCCAACAAGGTAAAAGTGCAAGCAGCAAATCATTATTGAGCTCAGGAAGAGGTTCAAAAGAAAAGCAAGAATTTGAAAAGAAAGGTTCCTCTGCCTTTTGTACATCTGGTAAGTATGTTGTATATCATGCAATGTTTAGTATATGCTCTTTGACACTAATACTACAAATCTAGGGATGCCAGTGAATTAGATCTCATCTGATCAGAATCAAATAGACTGAGTTTACGGTGATGATCCCAATGGTCGTATAATCCAATTTGATTTATAATTCAATTTGATATGGATTGGTTTAAACTGAAGGTTTTAGTCCAATCCAGGAATCAGTTGATATCCTTACATGTTATATATATGATGTATATTTAATTTTGAGGTTTTCAAATCCTTTTTTAGATCACATCTAATGGTGGATTTTTAACTTAATATCTCTTGCGAAGAATATGCAACGATCATGTTTTAATCCAGCTGTCCACCCCCACTCCACCTTTGGTTGTCGATGGATTGGATTCGACCTAGTTCAATGAGGGATCCGATATGGTTGGAATCAATTGTTGATCGACTTTATGATCAAACAGAGATCCTCATACTCAGATTAGGTCCAAGCCTACCTAATCCAACCCATCTCATTCATTTATGGTGTCAGAGATCTGATGTTTGACCTATATTCATATACAGCATGAAAAGAGTTACCATGAATTATACTTCAATCTGATTCTGCAGGGAGCATGAGAAGATTCGGCAGGAACAGTCCCCAGGCATCTCATCCAAAAGTGGCACGCAAGATTTCTGTTAAAGATGTGATTGCAGCCCTTGAGACGGAGCCTCAGATGTCAAAATCATCTTTGATCTACCGCCTGTACGAGAGACTGTCCGGTGATTCTCCAGTAGAATAGTTTGAAGGGCGAGCGTCATCCATGACCTCCAAGTTGCTCCCTTCTCTGTAAGCTCAGGCTGTTCCAATGGCCTCCAAATTATAGGCTTGGGCTGATCGAACTTTCCAAAGCAGTTGAACCACTCAAAACGACGAGGATAAGTTTCTGCAACTAATAGCACCTGAGGCTTCTATCCGTGCAGGATGTGGGGGAGGATTCATGGGATTCACATGCGTTTCCCAGTGTCTCATCGTCATCAATCTGATAATAAATTCTTTTGTTTTATAGTGAGTCGTTCAATTATGTTTTGCAATGATATCAGTGGTTTGGAGATTGATCGACAAACAATTATCACCCGGTGATTCAATGAACACTTTCTGTGTGTGCCCAAATGCACCAGGAGACTTATCCACTAAAAGCAGTTCGAAAGTGTATATCTTGTCTCCTCAAATAATTGAACCCAATGCATGATATGCTCCATGACTCAAAGATTCTTTTGTCCTTCGATTGAAGACTCTGCTACAGTCCAACTACAACTAAATCAAGCATGGCTTTCATCAAGACCCAGAATATATATGCCCATGTCCGTATCGATCAGACCACACACACAAAGAAACCTAGACAAGATAAGCACAAAAGAACATGCCCCCGCCCCCTCGTTCAGAAGAATGTTCCGTTTGCTTTGCCAGGTTCGATTGGATCAGTCCCATTCATTCGTCACCCAGTGTGAACCCGAGCTTGTCAGAATTGACCTCATCCATCCGTCCCACATGCACAATGAATTTAGCAACTTGTATTGCGTCCAAGCACTACCTTCCAAGGCCTGTCCTTCCACATGAGATTCTTTTACGCTTCTTTGTCTTCGAGTCCGATGCACCTTTCCCTTTGCAAAGTTGAGAGGAGGGGATGCATTGCACTTTTCCTCATCTGTTTCATAGCTTATGATATCCTGTAATCACTGCATCTTGTGTTCTAAACTCTGCTAACTCTTTAAAGTCTCTGTCATCTCTCATTTAACTGTAACATCGTACAAAGATTCTTATAATTGACTTCTTCTTCCCACCTATTTCCAATCGGAATAAGGAGATAAACCTAAGGAACTTAATGCAGAATGGAAAGACTAATGTATTGGCAGAAATCATCAACCAGTGGGGAAAAGACGTAGAGACGAACCTTGTATATATATATATATATATATATATATATATATATATATATATATATATATATATATGGATAAAGAAAAACCACAGTTCTTGCTGAGAGCTTAAGCTATGTACTTAGGCACACCCAAATTCCCCCCTTTCCATTGCCACCATCATCAATACATCTACGACAAAAGAGCAAGAAAGTTATACAAAGTTCAGCACATTCACCCATAAGAGGACCTCGAGAAGAAGGAACCAATGCAAAGAAGATTCCATGGAGCTAATGATGGACAGGTCAAAAGGCGGCTACTCTCCACCCCGATTTATATGACCGCCGCCACCACCACCACCTGCAATCTTGTTGCCTTTGCAGTGGAAACCTCCTCCAACCATTCAAATATCCTACTCCTGCACCATGGTCACACGCCCTTTCAAACTCATCTCTTCCTCCTCCTCCTTTTACTTCCTTCTAATTGTTAACTTCGACATGGCGATCGGCTCCACCGCATCCGACGAGCACTTGCAGATGAACCCACGCCCGCCGGGCCGCGGCGGCGTTTTCTGTTGGTTCTGTGCTGCTCTACCGCAAACTGCATGACTCTTAGCACAACGAGACTTCGTCGTACTGCTCGGTGCCTTCTTTGCACTCTCGGCCTCCGCATTGCTCTTCCTGCCGCTGCTTGATCTCCGTGACCTTATGTCGCATAGTTTCATCTCGGGAGCCTTGGCGACGCCCAACCGTAAGATCTCCCACCCAGGTGGCGCAGAACTCGCGCTCTTCCGGCCCGCACACGTCTTCGTGACGATGCGAACCTGCGGCGTCGGACTTGGGTGGGTGTAGAAATTGTTGGCGACTGATGCACGGGGAAGTTCACGAGTGCTGCTTGAGCGACTGCTCGACGAATGGCTCCTGCTGATACAACTGCTGCTGCTGCTGCTGCTGTTGCTCCGACTCCCACCGCTGTAGCCCAAGTCCAGAATGATAGATGAGTACTGGTCCAGCGAGTCCGACCTCGACCCGCTCCGGCTCGGCCCCCGGCTGCCGGTGGCAAAGAAGCCACTGCCGGGGCTGATTGATGGCTGTAGTGGAAGAATCTGTCCCTGGAAGAACACCTCGTCCGCCGCGCACATGTCGGTCTCCACCGAACTCGAAAGAAGGCCACCTGCCACGGATATCTGGAACTCGAAGTCATCGGCGGCCTCGCCAGACTTGCACTCCTCATCCATGGCTTCATCGATGACCTCTGGGAGATCAGATAGCGACAAGGACTCTTCTTCCTCTTCAAAGGCCTCCCATTTCTCCTGTTGAGCCATTGCCAGGACTTCTCCTACCTTCTCTTTGGTGGAAAGGGAGGTTGGAAGATATGAAGGGAGACAAACGGAGGGATGAGGCATATAAAACCATGGATGGAAGGAAAGCAGAGCAGGCTCACTATATTCTAATTCCCCGAGACATTCCTGCTGTGTTGGGCCCTTGCATGCCTCCTTTCAAGGCGGCCGTAAGAAACTTGTTTTGCCCCCTCATGGATGCAATGTGGCATGCTGGATCTTCTAATGCTTGTTTATGTGTCTGGATTTGGGACAGGAAGGTGGTAATCATATATGATAAAGAAGAGTTGGTTAGGTTGGCCTAGGGAGAAAAATCCATGGGAAGATAGAGTGAAGGTTGATGCTTGGAGAAGTGACAAGTTAATATTGATTTGTTGTCAGGTTGGATGACCATTATCTCCTTTCCAATCTCTCTCCTTCATTTCCTTTATGCAGGTCATGGGACAGGTGGGCCTGTAGCTCTTTGGGAGCTTGCAAAGTATGGAGAGGCCATGCTGCTTTTGATGTTTCTGAACCTCATCTCAAAGAGAGAGAAATGTTGGTAATGAAACTATCCAAATTCATGACTGGATGCACTGAAAGCTGTAGTAGTATTGACAGTATGAGATATGGGTGGAAAGCTTCTTGTGCACTGCAACAAATTGGATGTAGAGGATCATGGGAGGGAAACAAAGTAGGTCATCCTGTGACAGCAGGAAGGGAACAAGAGGGGTCCTTTCGTGGGGTCCAATGTTGGCTCCTGACCTAACCAAAAAGGAGAGCCATGCACGGTGGCTTGTGGCTTTAGGGTTTCCTTGAGGTGTCATGGTGCGTGTGATGCTGGAACTTTGGGGCGTAGCCAGTGAAAGGATTCAGAGGTGGAAGATGAAACAGAGGTGTGCTGTCATTGAAGTATTTTAGCAGTAAAGCAAGCAGGCTACTTGACAGATAAAGAGTTGATACACACACACACACACACACACACACACACACACACACATATATATATATATATATATATATATATATATATATATATATATATATATATATATATATATATATATA